CTAATGATTTTAGTGTATTGGTTTAGCAACTTGACAAGATCATCATAAGAAGGTGATTCAAATTCTTCATCACTATCACTACCACTTTCATCATTTCTAGCATTGTCATCACCACTACTGTCATCATCATTTTGTACCTTTCGTTCACCCTTGGCCATAAGGCATAGGTGTGTAGAGGATGACAACGGCGGTGTCGATGAAGATAGTGAAGAATTAATCACAAGAGCGGCCACCTTCTCCTCATTTTCACTTTCATCGGATGAGCCACTTGATGATTCAATGTTCGTGAGCCAATCACCAACAATGTATGCCTTGCCATTCTTCTTCTTCTTGTGAAATTCCTTCTTCTTGCCATCCTTCTTGTATGGCTTGTTCTTCTTCTTCTCATCATCATCTTCATCACTTGAGTCATCTTTCTTGCCCTTGTACTTCTTCTTGTACTTGTCTTTCTTGGGTTTGGGGTATTGATGAGCTAGATGACCAAGTTCTCCACAATTATAGCAATCCATTTCGGAGATGGGCTTCCTTCTACTACTAGTGAAGAATTTCTTCTTCTTGCCATCAAACTTGACACCATTCTTATTTAGCTTCTTGAGTATCTTGGCAGTTCTTCTCACCATGAGAGCAAGGCTTGCATCATCAATTTCATCATCACTTGAACTATCATGATCAACTCTTGCTTTGCCCCTCTTCTCTTGGCTAGCCTTGAATGCCAAATCTTTCTTCTTGGTGGAAGAAGAGCCATCTTGTGGAGTGATATGCATGTACATCTCATGTGCATTGATCTTCTCTAATATTTGAGTTGGTGTAGCGGTGGAAAGATCACCTTGATGAAGCACAGTCATAATATGCCCACATTTGTCAATGGGGAGGACACTCAAGATCTTCCTCACAACATCGGATGGTTGCATTTGTGAGTCCAAGTCCATTGACTTCCTCTACAAGAACATTCAAGCGTGAATACATCTCATTGGCACTTTCTCTAGGAAGCATCTCAAATGAATTAAGCTTTTTCATCACAAGATAATAGCGTTCCTCACGCTCACTCTTGGTTCCTTCATGGAGCGCACAAATGTCTGACCATAGTGCATGGGCATCTTTGTGGTTCCGCACACGGTTAAAAACATCCTTGCAAAGGCCTCTAAAGAGGGTGTTTCTAGCCTTTGCATTCCACTTCTCGTAGTTAACCTCATCGCCTTGAAGGTTGGCGGGATCCTTAGGTTTTGGGAAGCCTTGTGAGGCGGCTCTAAGAACTCCAACATCTAGAGCCTCTAGGTATGCCTCCATGCGAATTTTCCAGTAAGGAAAATCATTCCTTCAAAGATAGGAGGAGGTCCATCCCTGTGGGACATCTTGCTCTAGGCGGTTAAGCCTAATTTAGGGAGCACGAGGCTCCAATACCAATTAAAAGGATCAAGATGCCTAAGAGGGGAGTGAATTAGGCTAATTCTAATTTTTTGCAATAATTAACTCCTACACTTAGCCCATTTCACCCCTTGTGCCTAGAATGTGTTTCTATTGTTCTCCCACACAAAAGTTTTACACCCTAGGTTCCAATCCTACTCTAGCATGGCAATTCTAGGAATGTAAAGACATGAAATGAATTGCTCAAATATAAATGCTCAAAGTAAAGAGAAGGAAGGGAACATGGCGATGTTTTTTCGAGGTATCGGAGAGTCACCACTCCCCACTAGTCCTTGTTAGAGCACCTACGCAAGGGTGTAGCTCCCCCTTGATCCATGCAAGGATCAAGTGCTCTCTACGGGACGATTCTTTGACACTCCATCGCGGTGAATCGCCCACAACCGCTCATAGCAAGACTAGGGTCACCCACATGCTCCGTCGGATGATCACCAAGCTCCCAATCGCCACCGAGCCATCTAGGTGATGGCGATCACCAAGAGTAACAAGCACAAACTATCACTTGACCAAGACAAGCCTAATGAGAAGGGTGGATGCACACTTGCTACTCCCTATGCACTAATGAGGTCCTTAATCTTGGATTATCAAATCTCAATCACCTCACTAGGCTCTTGCTCTCTCTTGCACTCGAAAGGTGTTTTTCAGCTGAACAAATGGGCAAGAGACCTTCTATGGATGAGTGGAGTAAGTATTTATACCCCCTCATTCAAAACATAACGTTTGGAGACTGACTCAGCACTCTGCGGGCTGACCGGACGCTCTGGTCAGGGTGACCGGACGCTCCGATCAGTTGTGCCCGCCACTATGTCAGAGAGAGCCATTGAGCTCTGACCGGACTCTGACCAGCGCCCGGTCAGCACCCACCGGACGTGTCTGGTCAAGAAAAATCCTCTATGGAACCTTATTGATGTTGACCGAACGCAGGCACCCCAGCGTCCGGTGCTCCTCCACTCAGCGTCCGGTTAGTACCAACCGACTGCAGTGGAACAAAAGAACTGACCAGACTCACCTCCTAGCATTCGGTCATAATCAAACCAGCGTCCGATTAGTACCAGACGACTGCCGTTGATCAAATGAACTAACCGGACTCACCCTCCAGCGTCCAATCACAACTAGACCAGCGTCCAGTCAGTCATTTGACCCTCCATTCACTTCCAACTCGAAATTCTATGTGAATGAAGTTGACTCCAATTGATCTTAGGGCTATTCCTGAGCTACCTAGTGCTAAGTTTCATAAGTATGCACCACACCTAACCCACTAGACTCACCTAGGTCAAGCTACTCTTCTATACCCCCCTTAATAGTATGGCTAAAGGAAAAACAAAGTCCTAAACTACTCTAAGTGTCTCTCCAACACTAAACGACACTTAGAACTAGTCCGTCCTTAACCTTGTCGTCCATCCTTTGAAAACCAAAATGATTTCCATCGACAGGGGCATGACAACCATAATTGCCCAATCAATTTCTATTACCATGACCTAACTCAAATTGCCTCTGCAAAACACACGTTAGTCATAGTAATCTCATGTCGTCATTAATCACCGAAACCCAACTAGGGACCTAGATGCTTTCACATGGGGAACGTGAGTGAACTAGACTAAGAAACAAGACCCTCCTATGATAGCAAAGAGGTAGGTGATGGTAGAGACGATCTATATGGTTATGATGAGAGATCAAGCAAGGATGTACTTCAGTTGTTTACTTTCATACATTGACCCAGCTAGCAATGAAAAGGGATGAGAAGGGTGCTAAGCTGTTCCAACATGGGGCCCTATGATTTAAGAACTCACCCAAACGTGGTGGAATACAGAGGATAGATAGGGCTGTCACCACCTGCTACCTACCACAACTATCTGTGGGGTGAGCCGCAAACAAAGGCAACCTATAGTCTAAGCACCATGCTTACACTAGAGATTACTACTTAAATCCAAGCTTAAGACTAGACCACTCAAATAGTTGAGCGATGAACCTGTAAACAGCAAAAGGTAATATTTACTTAATGTATACCAAAGACCATAGAAGAATCCTGAATGCTTACTCAAATGGAGACCACATCTGCCGAGGTACAAGTGGGGAGAGTGCCGACAGACCTGGCACTTCCTCGACTTCCCCCTCACTCTCGCCCTATTCTCTACACTACTAGAGAGGCAGAGCTTCGCCTTGATACTAAAGTGCGGATTCCTCTAAGCTATGATTACAAGTGAGGTGAAGACATCTATTTATAGTAGAGGGGGGAGGTCTAGGTGGGCCCATGAATCGATGTGAAAGGTCCTTCTAATCCTTGGATCAAACAGCCTTACAAAGCACGGCTAGGATTGAAGGATTGTGTGCTAGTTTGCATGTGTCCAAAGCTGAGGCGGTGGAGCCTCCTAGGAGGGTTGGGCGAGCAAGGCGGCAGTTAGCCGACCCCCCACTGATGAGTGTGTAGGATCGAGATGGCCGACTAGAGATGATGAATAGTTGTTTCTAAAAATTAATCGCAAGGTAGTAGGGCACCTAGCTAGTGGGAGCTCACCTAACAATTCTAGTTGGCAAGATCAAACAATCTAAGCAACTAGAGCACAAGCAAGCACACGGGAGCTCCTACACGTACTAGTGAGAAAGCGGTGAACACTTACTAAGAACTACACTAGTAAGCCAGCAATGAAATAAACTTGTGTTGAGATATGCAAACCACAATGTAGAGGACGACACACGATGTTTTTCTTGTGGTTCGGTGACTTGCCGGTCACTTAGTCCACGTTGAGGCATGTTCTAGGATTGCCGCTTCTCTTGTTAGCTCCAAGCCCACAAGCTTTGGACTACCCCTCGAGGTAGGCTCCAACTTGAGCACTAAACCTTGAGCCGAACAAATCAACTAGACATACACACAAGCCTCAATTCTACTAGAGATGCTCTTTGCCTTCCTTCGGCGGGGACGAGCTCAATAGCCCCTCACAAAGCCTTCTCCGGAGCACCACACAACCTTCTTGCGTGCTTTACGGAGACAGAATCACCAAGCCGTCTAGGAACCGGCAAGTTCCAAGAATAACAAGCAACCACGCTTACAAATCACCACCTAATGCCATTCGATTAGTCACTCAATTAATCGCACTAGGACCAATCTCCAACTCACTAAACTTGTCTCACATGAAGTATATGAGTAGGAGAGGTGAGGAGAGGCTCTCATGATGTATATCAACTTCCCAAGGTGCCATGAGACCCCTACAACCGGCCACCCCTCTATTTATAGAGGAAAAGAGAGATGGCCGTTTGGAAGGGCTGATGGGCTCTTTGTGCACCTGGCGGTCCGACCACCAGGCCTAGCAGTCCGCCCGTCAGTGGCCCACGTGGCAGCCCCAGCCCGCTAACGGCTCCATTCAAACGGTCGAAAGGCCCAACGGTCACCTGGGCCTAGCGGTCCCACCGCCAGCAGCGTCATCTGGTCATTCGCTAAAGATTTTTATTTTCTCTCTCGCGAAGAACAACTATATCTTTTTTTTACAACAAAGAACAACTATATCTTGATATTTCCGATCGAGTTGCATTGGTTTCCACATTGAATTTAGCCACTCCTCCCCAAGCAATACCAACAACACATGGCTACGCAGCGCGTCTCCTCCCACCTCGCCGCCGCTCTCCTCCTCACCTCCCTCCTCGCGCCGCTGGCTGTCGCCCAACCGTGGCCTGTGTGCCGGAAAGATGCATTCTACACGACGGGCAGTACATACCAGTTGAACCTCGACCGGCTGTCGGCCACCCTCCCGACCAACGCCTCACGGTCCCTTTTCGCCACGGCCGCGGTGGGCGCTGCCCCGGCGGACACCGTCTACGCCCTCGCGCTCTGCCGCGGCGACTCCAACGGGTCCGCCTGCGAGTCCTGCGTCGCCGCGGCCTTCCCGGAGGCGCAGCAGCTGTGCGGCCTCGACGAGGACGTGGCCGTCTTCTACGACGACTGCAGCCTCCGCTACTCCGGCCATGACTTGCTCGCCAACGACACAAGCAGGGTCAACCTCACCATGATAATCAACCAGGCGAACGTCAGTGCACCAGCGGTGAAGGAGTTCGACGCCGCCGTCAGCGTGCTGCTCAACGCCACCAGCGATTACGCCGCTATGAACTCGTCGCGGCGGTTCGCCACGGGGGAGGACGCGGGCTCCGGCGGCGGCGGCGGCACCAGCAGCAGCTACTACCCGGCCACCATCTACGGGCTGGCGCAGTGCACGCCGGACATGTCGCCGGCGGACTGCCGAAGCTGCCTCCACGACATGATTGCCTTGACGCCGCAGTATCTCAGCGGGCGGCAGGGCGGGAGGATCATCGGGGTGCGCTGCAATTTTAGGTACGAGCTGAATAAATTCTTCAACGGAAACCCGACGCTCCGGCTGCAGACGCCATTCGGGCGGGCGCCGGCGCCGGATAACGCGACGCCTACTACGGTGACTCCAGGAGGTGAGTTGGCAGACACAAGAATCACTCACTCGATTTGCAGCTTTCGCTGGGGGGTACGTTCAGCGTTACGAACATAGAAGCCTGGTAGAAACGGATTTTCTACATCCTCTTCTTATCTCTACACTTGTTCCGTACAACCCTCTGTCAAAGAACTGAACCAAACTAAAAAAACAGATTGTTTGGAGATCTAAGGGCCTTTTTGAAACGCATAATTTCACAGAAATTGCATAGGAATTTTATAAAAATTATTTTATTTTTTACAAGAAAAACACAGAAATAGAAGAAGAAAATCCCACATTTGAAAGAGGACCTAGATATTTTGGAAAACATGCATACTTCTGGTCAATGGAATTTGTTAGAGGTCACATAACCGTGCACATTACGCCATATCTCTTGGGCCTTGTTTAGATACCCTCAAAATTCTAAGTTTTTTCACTCTCTCTTCATCACATCAATTTTTAGCCGTTTGCATGGAGTATTAAATGTAGATAAAAAAATAACTAATTGCATAGTTTAGTTGGAAATTACGAGATGAATCTTTTGAGCTTAGTTGGTCTACGATTAGACAATATTTATTAAATAAGATAAAAGTGCTACTATCATTGGGTTAAATTTTTTTCAATCTAAACAAGATCTTAGGTTACTACTGATGGTTGTGATGTGACAGCTCTGCAGTCCCGTAGCTATCGAGTACTTACTAGCAATGGCTCTCTATTAAAAAGCTTTGCGCGCACGTTCTGGTGCTTGTGCTTTCTACTATCTTTGAACGGTCAAGTCACACAGACCAGTCGTAAACGCGCAAAGCGCTTTCTACTGTCTTTGAATGGTCAAGTCATACAGACTAGTCGTAAAGGCGCGAAGCATTCTAAAGGCTTATTCTAAAGAGCCTTTGGCACGGCTTATCCAAGACTTCATCGGTGAAGCAAAAGATGATGAAGTCAAAAAAAATTAATTTTTGTTTGGTTTTTAGTTCATTTTAATTTTGGTTTATAAAACGGTTTCACGCTACAGTGGCTTGATTTATACAAAATAGATAAAGCTAAAGCCGGCATAAGCGGTGTCAGAGTGGGCGTAGAGAAGCTGTGATGGTCCTAAACTAGCGTCTCTGATTATATTTGAGGATCCCGTTACTTTTTGAGTTCTCCAGTTTTTCCATCTACTTGCACAAGCGAGCCTATCCACAATAGTTTAAGTAACCGGTTATAGCCTCCGCTGTAGCCCGCGATAACCTCTATAAAAGTTAAGGCTAAGCTATTTCATTTTTAGAGCTAAACACTTTTTTGCTGCTATTAGCTAAATTTAGCCCGCTAAATAACACCTCATTTAGTCCGCTAATCAGGCAGGGGAACCAAACAAGGCTGCCGAACCAATTGAGCAAAGATAATCGTGTATGAACTGATGTGTTTGTGATATGTATCGTGTATAAACTGATGTGTTTGTGAGACTATAACTTATTAGTTGGTATTTATAATATCTAGTAAAGTATGGGAAATAAAAGGAAGAGGAGACCTTGGATTTTTTTTAGCCATGGTGTCATGATATTGCGGCATCCCCTAATTCATGTTGGAACGCTCACTAAAGGTTAATAAGCTATTTTAAGTCACCAATGCTCAAGAAAATCTCCTTCATTCGAAATGAAAGGATCGAGATGTCCAAGAGGGGTGTGAATTAGGTTAATCTAAAATTTCTCGCAACAATTAAGTCCTACCGTTTAGCCCATTTCACCTCTTGTGCCTAATAGTGTTTTCTATTCTACCGCACAAAGTTTTGCACCCTAGGTTCCAATCCTACTCTACCATGGCAATTCTACGAATGTAAAAACATCAAAATAATCGCTCAAATGTAAATGCTTAAAATAAAGATAGTGAAAGGAACACGGCGATGTTTTCTCGAGGTATCGAAAAGTCGGCACTCTCCACTAGTCCTCGTTGGAGCACCCGCGCAAGGGTATCGCTCCCCCTTAATCCGCGCACGGATTTCTACGGGTTGATTCTTCGCCACTCCAGCATGGTGAATCACCCACAACCATTTACACCATAAGTTGGGCCACCCACAAGCTCCACTGGGTGATCAACAAACTCCCGATCGCCACCAAACCGTCTAAGTGATGCCGATCACCAAGAGTAATAAGCACAAACTCTCACTTGACCTAAACAAGCCTAATGAGGAAGGTGGATGCACACTTGCTACTCTCTATACACTAGTGAGGTCCTTAATCTTGCGATTATCAAATCTCAACCACCTCACTAGGCATGAACTCCCCCTTGCTCTCCAATGTATGCTATTAGCTGAAACAAATGGCAAGAGAGCTAAGTTGGACCGGATGGAGGTGTATATATACACCCCAACCACCCAACTAGCCGTTATAACTCCACCCAGCTTTGCACGGGGTCATCGGACCGTCCGAGGTCCAGCGTCGGACCATATCTCCTAGGTCCGGTGTGACTCAACGGTTATAATGTCAGAAACATGCAGAACTAGCCGTTGGAAACCTTTTGCAGCGTATGGTCCGACGGTACCCCACCAGACCAGTCTGACGCTCACTTTTCTTCTCTGGAACCTCTCTGGACGCCGTCGGACCGATCACCATTGGTTCAACACTCTACTGTTCACTAGGGTCCGATGCTCCTCACAGCAAACCCTAGTGCACAGCCACTGCAGCGCATGGTCTGACGCCTTCAAACCCTGGCTACGCTCTGGCAGTGCCACGTGTGCGCGTCGGACCCAAACCTATGGTTCGATGCCACCATGACAGCTCGGTCCGACGCTCAACCAACCCCTCTCTTCACTTCCAATTTCGATTCGTTGTGAATGGGGTCAATTCCAACTGATTCTTGGGCCTTCTCATAGCTACCTAGTGCTAAATTTGACAAGTGTGCACCACTCCTAAACCACTAGACTCACCTAGGTCAAGCTACTAGTTCATACCTCCTTTATAGTACGGCCAAAGGAAAAATAAAATCATAAACTACTCTAAGTGTCTCCTAACACCAATTGACACTTAGAACTAGTCTGTTCTTAACCTTGTCGACCATCCTTAGAAAACCGAAACGATTTTCACCGATAGGGGTATGAAAACCATTGATTGCCCAAACAATCACTATTATCGTGACCTAACTTATATTGCCTCTGCAAAACATACATTAGTCATAACAATCTATGTAGTCATTAATCACCGAAACCCTACTAGGAGCCTAGATGTTTTCAGGAAGATCACCAATAACTCCAACACCAAAATGTCTAGGTGTTGCCAAACACCAAGAGTAACAAGTTTTGATCTTCACTTAACCAACAACCTATCCAAGAGCCTCAAATGATGCGCACTAGCTACATTTCTTCTCACTAGCGAATCCTTAATCATGAATTTGAACACTTGCTAGTCACCATGATGCTCTCTAATACTACCTCCATTCTCTTCTATAAGGCGCACGCACATATCAAGATTCAAACTTCAAAATCTTTGACCAATAATTTGACTAACAATTTTCAATTATTATAACACAAACTTGATATGGTTAGATTTGTAATTAAACCTACTATCCAATTATCAGAAATTTATAAGTACGAATAATATAAAATAAAATAAATAGATGATCAAAATGTAATTTGGAAGACCGTGTCAAGTTAAGTTGTGCCTTATAAAAGATAATGGAGAGAGCAGTTACTATTTTTTAGATGATGGAGGGTTTTCGGCCTTAGACATCTTCTAATGAGGATGCATCAGACCACAATTATTAGAAAGACATAGCACATGTCCCAATAATGAAACATGTAGCCAAGATGTCATAAACTCTGTTTTACCAAAGAAAAACAAGAAACTAAAGGAAATGAAGAAATTCAAAATCTTCAAATTGCAGCTTCCTTTCGCGGCTTGTTTCATAATGTTTACATGAGCCAGATCTAGCATAAGGAAAGAGAAACAACTCCATCAGATGCTTGAAGCTCTAACTGCCAAACCAAGACCATTGATATAAGCATCCTCACTTCCACCAAAATAGGCGATAGGAATATGCTGGATACCAATAGCCTCTCCAATAGTTACTAAACCTCCAAGATGTGTCTATCCTTGCCTCTGGTTAGAGAGAACTCCCCCTGTCCCATATAAAGTGACGTTATGGGAAATGTGATGGACAAACTTTCTCAACTTTGACTAGGTTTGTAGATAATATTAGCAATAATTGTATCTCCAAATAAGTTTATTATGAAAATATATTCAATGATCTATCCAATGATACTAACTATGTGCCACAAATATTAATATTTTCTTCTATATATTTGGTCAAAGTTAAAAATGTTTGACTTCTCAGTAAGTGAGAATGATACTTTTTATAGGACGGAGGGAGTACGCAAAAAGAGCAATAGAATACATATGTGTAGCCCACTATGGATTGAGGACTAGTTGTTGGGCCAAATCTTGCAAATGCAGTCATCACCAGATGACCCGGCAAGAGCATGAAAGAGCTAACCCTAGTCTAAGTGCGGTGAGGACTGAAAGCCTGACTTTCCCAATGGTAGTATATACAGTCACAATAGAACCGAATGATCTACTAAGTACTTCGTACCTGCACGTTAAATTAGATCATCATGTGTTACACAAAAGCATGCACCCAGTTCATCTTCACCTGCACAGTGTCTCCGGATGATCCATCGTATGCAAACATACCTCATACTGTATCATCCTGTGGCACTACAACTCACAATAACATTGAACAATCCGCTAGCATAATTCCATCATCACCAGACCATCCTATTTAATTGAGACTTGCACCGAGCCAACTCTGATTTTTAATATGTTTTAACCTGAAACTTGTCCAACACATTTGAGTTTCTAATAAAATCCTTATTATTCCATGATGACTCTTGAGCTACCTAGTTTGAGCTTTTCACAAGTGTGCACCACTTTAACACTCCAAGCCAATAAGTCCTAGGCCAAGCTACTCATCTTAGCCTCCCTTTATAGTCAATGACCTAACCCTACTCAAAGTGCATTCCAACACCAAAGGACACTTAGAACTCTAGACTCCCTAATCTTTGTGAATGTCCTTTCAATCAAAACCATATTTATCCCAAAGCTTCGACTCCTAAGGTCCATGCAAGCGTTTTGAGAGTTGAGACTATTTATTTTTCAAAAGAACCTTGACAATACTATAATATGTAAAATGTTTTCTACCAATTAAGTGACTATGTATGTTTGATATGCTGCATACAACATACTTTGATCTGAAGTTTATGTCATATATTACAGGAAGAAAGAGGAACAGAATGAAGATTGTTCTAGCAATTACATTGCCTTTAGTTGCTTTAATGCTTGCTGTCACTATATTTTGTCTCTGCTTTTGGAGGGGAGGACCAGAAAGAGAGCATGCACCACCTTGTAAGTCATCTTCACAATTTGGAACTATGAACAAACTGCAAGAGATTGAATGAACCTAGGCCTTTTAAACTTGTTAGCAGGAACAAAACAATTATGTAGTCTAATTTTCGATTATTTTAAATTTATTATCTGTTTCCACTCAAAAGAAAATTTCATTTCTATATTTGAAAGGAGGTATAGTTTAGAAATGGCTTGGTGCCCTAAAATGTGACATCTTATACCTGTTTTTAACATTTTGTTTAACAGATTCAACTAAACCTGAGGACATTGAAGGCATTGGTTCACTTCTTCTTGATCTATCAACAGTACGTGCAGCAACTGATAACTTTGCTGACAGCAACTGGATTGGTGAAGGTGGTTTTGGAGCAGTTTATAAGGTGCCACGTATATCATTTCATTTCAAGGTCTTTGAGTTTCAACAACTAAAGGTTTACCCATATGCAGGGTGTACTTCCTGATGGCCAACAAATAGCCGTGAAAAGATTCTCATGTAGTTCAGGGCAAGGAATACAAGAGCTGAAAAACGAGCTTGTTTTGGTTTCCAAACTTCAACACAAGAATCTTGCTAGGCTTGTTGGTGTTTGCTTACAAGAACATGAGAAACTCCTCGTGTATGAATACATGCCCAAAAGAAGCATCGACACAATTCTCTTTGGTATTATTTTGTATAATCTGTTTTTCAGTACCACAAATACCATGGAAATTTAACACTATCTTCCAGACAACTGATATGTGGTTTCTTGATCAATGGCTAGATCCTGAGAAAAGTAAGGAGCTAGATTGGGGAAGGAGATTGAAGATAATAAAAGGAATTGCTCGGGGCTTAAATTATCTTCATGAAGATTCCCAATTGAAGATTATCCACCGAGACCTAAAAGCAAGCAACATCCTTTTAGACTCTGACTATACACCCAAAATTTCAGACTTTGGCCTGGCTAGGTTATTTGGAGGGGATCAATCGCAGGAGGCTACAAAATCTGTAGTTGGAACATAGTAAGTACAATAAACTAAGTCTTGCTTAGTTGGTGGGAGCAGTGGGTGTAAACTCCCATCACCTGGGTTTCTCTTCTATTTGGGAATTGAGAATCTCCAATTCCCAAATAGAAGAGAAGGGAGCAATGGGTACGAATTGAACCGCTGCCTTTTTCTTCTTAATTGAAAAGCCACCTATATTTTCTTCTAAGTTGCATTGGCGGCGGGCTTTTTATCAAGCTAGTAAAGTAAACAAAAACCCTTATTTTATACAAATGGGATATTAAATACATGACTTTCTTTTCGTACTGCAGTGGATACATGGCACCAGAATATGCCATGCTTGGTCACTATTCTATAAAGTCAGATGTCTTCAGCTTTGGCGTCTTGATTTTAGAAATATTAACCGGAAGAAGAAGCAGTGGCTCCTATAACTTAGATGAATCTGCTGATCTCATAAGTCTTGTAAGTCATTCTACTGCCCCTAAACTTGTTACACTTATGACTTAATTAATGTGAAAAATTCTTAGATAATCTGCATATTTGATGGAGGTGTGGGACCATTGGACTGCGGGAACAATTGTCGAGATCATGGATTCATCTCTGAGAGGCCACGCTCCTGGAGACCAGATGGTGAAGTTCATTAATATCGGGCTTTTGTGTGTTCAGGATAATCCAGTAGATAGACCAATAATTTCAACAGCAGGCATTATGCTTAACAGCGACACTATCGCCCTCCAAACTCCAATGAAGCCAGTATTTTTCATTCCCAAGAGTTGCACCTAGTCAATTGTTTATTCAGAATCATATCCAACAACTTCCGGTGCCACCGGAAACTCAGGGGCAATGTTACCGAATGAAGTGTCAAGTACAGAAATGCAACCAACATGAGTCCTGAAGCTTGTTGTCACGTTTTAATTATTTACCGGAGAAATTGGATTATTATTGTATGAGAAAATTTTCGGTGCCTGACAAATGTCAACATTTTTGCTTATGCTCCATATATACGTAACGACCTCTATGTGAGGACAACTATTCTGACATCCCCTTTCCGGGCCAGTAATCTAGTGAACATCCAAAATCCAGTTTAGCTTTTCGGTTCAGGTTGCTTGTGAGTCCATGCTTATCACCGACTGGAACAAGGTTGCCAAGAAGCTCTTGATGGGCAACCATGTGGTTATTCTTGTAGAGAGTGTGGTCATGAATCATGAAATATTTTAGTGAAACTGAAGACATGCATTTCCTTGCTGCAAAGATATATTTTTTCTCAAAAGACGCAAAAGATTTGTGCAATATTATATTAAGAAAAAAATGGGTGTACACTACTACAGAGAAGATTTTTAGAGGCGGTTAAAATCGTTTTTCAGAGGCGGTTTGAATAACCGCTACAATGCCACCGACGGTAAAAATAAGTGATTTTCAGATGCGGGTTTCTTAAGACAACCGCAATTAAAAATGAAGTCAACCGCTCCTAAAATTAATTTTTAGAATTTTTTAAAAATTATTTAGAGTCTAATAAAAATAAGAAAAAAATATTTTTAATATGGCCGGAAGGCCTGACCCTCGGCTCACAAGATTTATTTTTTCACTCGTTTTAAATAAGTGTAGAGACTAGGATTTGAACCCACGACCTCTTCCTCGCGCGTCTCATTCGCTACCACCACACCACACAATCTCCTGTGTCTTGTTCTACGATACTGTCTATTTGTACTAATATGTATGAATCTTATAAACAATATTTTAACTCATAAACAATCTTAAATGGGAAAACTTTCAACTACAAAGTTTTAGATCTCGTCGAACACTACACATTTGATATAGAACATTTCTCCATCCAAGGTTATTTGAAAAATTCAAAAATTAAAATTCAAAATCTGAGATTTAATTTATATATTTGGAACCCTAAATGATCTTAAACAAAAATTTTATCAACTACAAAGTTTTAAATCTCGTCGAGCTCTACAATTTTGATATAAAGTTTGTCTTCATCCAACTTTATTTAAAAAAGATATGAATTTATTTGCGCTGCAGCTATTTTTAAGGACGGTTTTGTTAAAAAAATTCACCTCTGAAAATCGATTTTTAGAAGTGGCTGTATTAAGAGAACCGCCTATAAAAATTAGGTGGTTCTCTTAATACAACCACCTCTGAAAATCGATTTTTAGAGACGGTTCTCTTAACGAAACCGCCCCTAAAAATAGATACATTTTTAGATGCGGATTTCTTAATGGAACCACATCTAAAAATTGATTTCTAACAACGGTTGTATAGCTACAGTGCCTCTCGCGAAGTTTAGCGATGGCGTGCTAAGACAACCGCTTCTGTTAGAAAAGGGAGGCGCCTCTAAAAATTATTTCTGTAGTAGTGGTAAGAACCCAACAACACTTACACCACACACCCCAACACAACGCACTCCCACAAATAAGAGCAAGACTAATAATATAGCCGATTGTTGGCTGTAAAGTTTCTTTGTAGCCTTCTCTTATCTCACCCATATAATAGTTAGCTCTTCACTATTAATACATGACTCACTTGTTTCTCTCACAAAGTTTTTTGATTCTTATGTCTAAGCCGAGCTATAAGCTTCTCCTCTCTCTCCTCTCCTCTCTCCTCCACCTCAGCATTTAGCTAGCTTATAGCCTCTTATTATACTTGCTCTAACACACCTACAGCAGGCAAAGCTCACCTAAGCCTGTTGAAAGGCGACCCACACAGACCTAAGAAACTAATCTCCTAGGAGGTGGGCTGATAAGCGTGTGTTTGGTTCAGGGACGATGTGGGATGGGTTTAACCTGTCCCAGTTTTGCGGATTGGGTTGAACCCATCTCTTTTTTGGTTGGCAAGATTGGGTCCATTCCAGTTTTATGTTTGGTTGGAAGAATATCTAGAAGTGGGTTGAGTCATTGACATGCAGGGCCGTTTGCCAGCCTTCTTCCTCCTTCAGCTAAGGGCGGGGGCGGAGCTGGAGCTCGCGCTGCCCTACGCCGAGGGCCGGGGGTGGAACAGGAGCTCATGCTGAGGACCGGGGCTGGGGGCTGGAGCTCACGCCGAGGGCCGGAGACGAAGCTATAGCTCCCCCCGCATTGCCATGGCTGCTAGCTGGAGCTCGTGCCACCCAATGCCGCCCCGCGCTGCACCGCCCGCCGAGCTCCCTCCGCGCCACCATGGCTGTGAGCTGGAGCTCACGCCGCCCAACACCGCCCCCCGGAGCTCCCTTCACGCCGCCATGGCTACGAGCTGGAGCTCGTGCCACCCAGCCCCGCCCCGCGTAGTCGTCCTCCTGCAGTTTCTCGGCCATGGCACGCGCTCGCTTCTCCACCTTCCGCACGCGTGCTCATCTGGGTCGCCCCCATCCGCTCGTTTCCGAGGAATCGGCTCGACCCGCATCCAAGGGGTATATTCACTTCTAGGTTCAACCCAACCCATCTCAACTCCCAACCAAACACCATGAAATCTGGGTTCAACACAACCCAACCCCCCATCCAAACACACAATAAGAGGGATAGCCCTCAAGCCCCTGCAATGGTCCATAGCCGGCATTCCTCACCAGCCATGGCTAAAGCCCCGACAACACTTAGAGCCTCTCCATCGAAAACACAAAGATTGCGATGGTTCCAAAGAATCAAGCCCCCAGCATGATTAGGGAATTAACCCCTTTCCTTATCAGCTCAGAAGTAGCATTATTAGCTCTATCCCACCAATCTAAGAAAGGAGTTTTTAGTAGGTTATGGTGATAAGGCCTAGAGACTGACTTGGCTTAGCAAATGGAACTAGAACTCCCTAGCGAAGAGGCAAATGACAAGGAGATGGTTGACTGTTTCCTCCTCTTGATCACAAAGTGGACAGCAATCCGGGTAGGGCAGCCCACGGCAAATATATTAGAAATGGCAGCGGTTCAGTTCCAGTAAGCCAGAGAGTACATTTGTCGGTGTTTCGAGTAAACACCAATGAGTAAATTTGTATTATTGCGCGTCCGGCGATGGTATGCTAAAAAAGACACAAGGTTTATACTGATTTGAGCTGAATGTCTCTACGTCCAGTTCGTGGCTACTGCTCGTGTATTAGCACTGAAAAGTTTATAGTAGGGGGTACAAACGGGCGAGAGAGGGACAGGTCCCAAGTCTCAGATGGAAAGGTCGAATGGGTGCTGAGAGCTCGGATGCTGCTCAACTATGAGTGATGTGATGCGTGGTGTGTTGAATCGATCGGTCCCCTTAGTGGAGTGCCCTGCCTTCCCTTTTATAGACCAAGGGGAAGCAGGGATTACAAATGAGAGAAGGCAGAAAAACCAGAGGCCAAGAAGGTCCTTCAACGATGCTGGGTCCTCCTTTTCCCCTAAGCAAATCCTGCTGACACGGCAGACGACGCCATGTTCTGGCCCTGTCAACAAGTGGTCACGTCCCGTGTCGCCCCGACGGGCGACGCGACGGACCAGGGTGCTGATCCGCGACCTTACGGGGAGCAGACGGTGCAGTGACCGCACGTTCATACTGTAGATGATGCGAGTTTTCTGGACCGTAGTGGTTGTCGTATGCTTCCATCAGGATCCGTGCTCGAGGGCAAATGGCGGCGCACACAACACTGTAAGACAAATGTCGGCGTCTACAACACTGTTTAGGCTCTGACATGCCCGGAAGGGCTTTAAAGTGTCCGTCTTGTCATATCCTGACGGTACTTTCCTGCAGACGTGCAGGGTATGGTCCTCGGTGTTGCGGTTGACTTGAGTGCCTCTCCTTATCTGCACGCGTAGTTACGAAGGAATGGTGCGCAGTCGTCGGGCGAGGCGGAGCCAGCCCTCGGACGTCGGGCGAGGCGGAGTCTGCCTTCAGACGTCGAGCGAGGCGGAGTCTGCCCCTGGACGTCGGGCGAGGCGGAGTCAGCCCTCAGACGTCGGGTGAGGCGGAGTCAGCCCTCAGACGTCGGGCGAGACGGAGTATGCCATCAGACGTCGGGCGAGGCAGAGTCTGCCCTCAGACGTCGGGCGAGGCGGAGCCAGCCCTCGGGGGTCGGACGAGGCGGAACCAACCCTCGGTCGTTGGGCAAGAGATGTAGTCGCGCTCTTGTCTGTTCTGAAGCATCAACATTTGATGGTTATTTGCTCCTTTTAGGATACCCCAGTATTTGGACCCCGACAACATTCTTGCCTGACTAGAAATTTCTGCGCACCTTGCGCGCCCTACCAGCCAGAGAAAAATGAGCCATAAGAAAACACAGTGACATTCATATACTGTTCAATCACGAAAGGAAACCAGATGCAGCGTTGTGCCTGCCAGAGTAGCACCAGTCAGCAGAGCTAAAATAAGCAGAGAAGATCCATTTCAGATTCGAGTACATGGAGAGAAAGAAGAAAACACAATTCCTGATACATCACATATATGACCAAATTGAAGTAATGGACAAAAGCTCATACAGTTAGTGTAGCCTATCACATGTTTCGACCAGAACTCATAAGAACCATATATTTAGCCAGCTGCTTGAATAATTAATACAATTTTACATAGAGGCAACTGGTAGGCAATCAGTTAAAGTAGCCATGATATGCTGCCGTTGGGGCACAAATTCTTCAGTCCAAACTGCTAGTGTTCTCCAATAGCATGAATTCTTTATCTTTCCGGCTGCTATTCAGGTATCTAGGATAATCAACGGGCTCATGGAAAGCTGTAGCCTGCACATCAACAGTCACAGTTCAGTTTTCTACGTAGGCAACGTATCAGGTGCAAACCAACCAACCTGTACAAACTTGAAAACTACCAATCAGGACCACTAGATGCTGATCCAATGAATAGGGTGAGAGGTGGGATTTTTTTGCGCTTAAGCCCCCCCACCCGTCATCCTTTTTTTTTTTTGCGCTTAAGCCTCCTCACCCCATCAATTGGATCAGCCTTCTATGTATCATTATCTGTGTGTGACATTTAGTTATGTGAGCAGTGAAAGTTAGAAATTGCAAACTGGATGTATTCTTTTAATGAAAAAATAAATTACTTCAGCATTCCCATAAGATCACCAAATTACTTCAGCTCTCTCAGATTCCACAGCAAGTTCAAGTTGTTTTTGGAACACTTTAGACCTATGATAAGATTGTTTTGTTGCTCTTATGGACTTATGGTTAAAAAACTTCGAAGGGTACATTTGTGTACAAACAATTAAAAGCAAGGTAATAATGGTGTAATAGCTGAAATAGCAATATTCACCATCAACCGAAAGTGCTGACAAAACTGTGCATAAACTTGCAACATAATTTATAGGGTCATGCTATTCCCAAATACAGACCTGCTCTCCAAATTCGATGTTTTTTTTTTGCATATGAACCTTTATCTAGACCAACCTGCATTAGTGGTCAACAGAGAAGCAAGCCTAGAGGCGCCTGCATTAATAGTCAACAGAGAAGCAAGCCTAGAGGCGCCAGAACCATGTATCAATTGCGGATCCTGACAAATCACATAAGCATAATAAATATAACAAAATTCTAAATCATTCTGATGCATTCGGGTAAAAAAGATAGCAGTAAGATAATAAAACAATAGAAACCAAAAAGACAATGGCAGCATGGTATCGTACATCCAATTGACAAAACGACACCACAAAGCCAGCATTATCATACTGCCCCTTTTGCTTTGACAAACAATTCCCAGATAACCCAAATGCTATAGTCTAATTTACTTGATAAACGATTCTTAAATGTCCTAAATCACACAGCAAAAGAAATTCCCTAAGTTCAGTAATAAATTCAGGACTCTTGATCTTAAGCTCCTTACCCTTGGTGCTTGCCAGCCAAAGCTTCATGATGGTGATGTGGAGCACCTTGGTAGGCATCTCTCACCAGGTCGCAGACTACCCAAAACACCACAACAAACGCAAGTCAGTTCGGTCCAATCCAATGCCACAGGAACAAAAAGACATGATGGAATCCATCCTCACATAAGAGAGCACGAATGGCGAGTGCTGCAGATCGTACCTTTTTCTAGGCTCTTGACACTCCTGGAAGAGATCCTAATGCAGATCTCGTGCCGTAGGAACACAAAAAAAAAAAAAACCGCCTTTCGCGTACGCCATACCCTCCGCCGCCATCGCTTGCAGGAGGAGAGGAGATCGGGCACTAGGGTACCAGGGTCTGCAGAACCACCCCAGCGGCCGTCGACGCGCTCAAGGCCATTGCTACATGGCTGAGATCTGCCGTCAACCACCCTAGGTCCGTGGACACCGCCTCCACCCCGCCCCCGCCCAACCCCCCCCCCCCAAATCTCCGATGTCCGCCCTCGCTCATCGGCGAGCCTTCGAGCAAAGGACGTCACAAACGGGCGACACGTGGAGGAGGCCGGCGCGCCGCCTACTGTCGCTTGAGCTCGCGCCGCCCTCCAATGTTGGCTCGAGCTCGGGTCTGGGAACAGGAGTGGAGAGAGAAACGAGAAACTGGAATGAGGGGGAGGTAGGGTTCGGGGTAGGGGCGGGGGGTTCTCTGCAAAACCGCATGGGGGTTTCTGTAAAAACAACTGATCTCAAATTTTCTCTCGTTCGCATTGAAATAAAGTTTATAGGAAGGGTCTAGTAATAAATTATCCTAATGTGTGCAATGTACATTTGGTGATATATAGACTGCGGGTTTATTTTTATTAAAGTGGAGGGCTTTTGTGCAATATGACCAAGGCTGCGCATCAGCACGCGGAGTCACCATGGATTCTGATGCGCAGCAATCCCGAGCTGGTGATGGTGATGGGGATGGGGACCGAACTGAAGAGTGTCTTGGATCAATTAATTAATTAATGTTGTGATTGCACGTACACCAAAATGATGGCTCTCTCAGGGCAAATAGAAGAGCAAGGAGGATTAAGGGTCTGTTTAGATCCTCCTTTAACTTTAGAGCACTTTCGCTCAGGTTTAAGGTCTAAAACTCTAATGTAAGGTCGGTTAAAGTTTAGATATAATTTTAGACCACCTGTTTTAAGCTTTAGCTCTAAAGTTGAGAACTCTAAAATTTAGAGGAGAGGATCCAAACAGTCCTTAAATATTAATTGTGGAGATCGAACCATGAGCTTTGCCAACGTACGTCTTTTATTATCTCTTCGTTTTCTCTCTTGCTCAAATGTCACCAACCGTCGGTTTGTGTTTGTTTTTACTTTTCATAAATCTGAACGCGAGACGATTTGTTTGCTCCAAGAAAATGTTTGGCAGTTCTTTGCGCGGCTCATGGCAGCTGCGACCACCTTGATTGCTGCCGTCGATCCTTCCTCGTGGTTTTTGTGTGCACCGATGATAGCGAGACGACCATCTGCACCTACTCTTTCGATACTGCTACGTGGAGCGACCAAATCCTTGCTCATCAGCAGCCTTCTGGCTGCGTCGAGACTTCAAGCCTAGCGCGCTTGTGGGGAATGCACTCTACTTTGGGCTTTACCAGGGAAAAAGCAAGATTTTAAAGTATGAGATGGAATTGCATGCAAAGTATGTAATTGATCTGCCACACATCCATAGGGATAGTGATATACTCATGACCACGGTGGTTGGTGGGCTCGGATTTGCCACACTACATGAATCCAAACTCTACATGTGGCTGAGGAAGGATGGTCTTGGAGTAGATGCTGGATGGACACAAAATAGAGTCATTGATCTTGAAATGCTGCTTGGCAGTAATGCCATATTGACCTTACCTCATGTGGTTGGCAATTGCGGATGAGATCGGTGTCATTTTCTTAAGGACAGAGACAGATAATGCTCTCTTCACATTTGATCTGAAGACCTATAAGGTCAAGAAGATATGCAAGGGTGGACAATTTTACACTATTTTTCCTTACATGAGCTTCTACACAACAGGTACAGCTTACCTTGGTTTTGTTGATTTTCTAATACGTATTCAGCCTGAGAAATGTTATAGTTGCTAACATGAAATCTAGGCTCAACCAGTGATGGTCCAGGAGCGGCAGGTGCCTCAAGTGGTTGGCAAAGTTCATAGTATATGAGTCACGCACGGGCGTCATAGTTGACAGATAAGTGTTGTGCTTGAGCACCAATTGTGCAGATCAGAACTGCAGCTTTAGCTTGTTTGCAAGGCTGAATAGTAGCCAAGTTGTAGTGTGAAATCACTAGACTTTTTGTAAGCTGCTGGTGTTAGCTAGCAAGTTTGCTTAGTTAGAAAGTACTTTAGTCAACTTGGCCTACTGTAGTACATTCACTATGGCAGGCAACTAGAGCAAGTTGTATAGAATTAGTGCTAGTATAAACAGACCTAGTCCCATGTATGTGTGTGGTAATGCAAATACAGAGCAGCTGTTGCAGCTGGAACAAACCTTCAGCTTGCGTGCCTGCTTGTTGGTGTATCTGTGTGTGAGTTCAGAATTACCTACAGCAATGGTGAAGTGGATATTTGGTTGCAGTAGTAGACTGTTGTGGTTGTTTGGGTGCTCATTTGAGGACTTGACCTGTAAGTACTCTTGATTTTGAGTGTGGGACATCTCTGGAGCTGTTTAGCGTCTGTGGGGTTGGTTATGTCTTAGTGTGCTGGTCATTCTTGTTTCTTCCTTTTAATTTGCGGTGTCATATCTCTAAAATTTGTAAGATTAGTCCCTGGTATCAAGTTCTCTCTAAAATTTGTCAGCTTGGTCCCTGGTATCAAGTTCTATTGGTTTTTTTCTCTGAAATTGTACTGTCCTCCTTTAGGTGGGCTTGTCCTCTGCTTTAGCTTGTATTGAAAACTTGTAACAGATGTGATTCCTTAAGTTTAAATATCTGTACTCGAGAAAATAATAGGCATGTGAAACTATAACATTTTGATTTCATATACGCCATGTTAGTCCTAAATAATTTTAATTTGGTTCAACATCTTATGGCTTGATTTTTGTGGCCAATCTGGTAAACAAAATCCAAACCCAGATTCCTTTTTTTGTTTGTTTGAACCACATAGCAGTGTATATGTGTATATGATCATATGAATGAGCTTGAACCTGAGCCTGGGGTCTTGTCCCAGAGTAACCAAAAGTTGAAAAATGCCAACGTGGTCAAACACCCTAAATTAAAGTATGGTTGCTAGCTGAGGTAATTGCCAGCCCGAGTCCCAACTTGGCCATCTCAGGTTCCACATCCCCTCACCGTGTCACCTGGTGTGTATGCCAAGATCTCGGACCATCCATTTTGGGTGCATCTGATCTGATGTAAACAGCTGCGAATGTTCAGTTGAATTTTGTGAATGTCTAGAATGTTCAGCAAGTTTCTATTAACTTTTTTCACGGTTTATAAGATGGAGCAGAGAATAATGGGTCAAGGTGGTTATTTACTCCATATATGCTGGGCAGTTAAAAAGTAAGAACAGTGTTACTTATGTTTGTCAGTTAAGTTTCGTACTACTATGAATGGAGTGCAAAGAATGCAGTGCTACTTGCACTGAAATCCGGTGTACAAAGATTATTTATTATTATATTGTGATGTGAATGATCTTTAAAAACACAACACGTAATGGTCTGTATATATTCAGATGGGCCTAGATGGTTGAGCACCTGCTGAGCCTCTCCGGTGACGGCATAGCCCATTGGGCTCAAAGGCAAGGTGACGGACGTTGGGCCAACAACCACATGGAGATGCAGCTGACGCTGCTGTTCTTCACCGCCACGGCCCACGGGAAGTTCCAGTGACTCAGTGAGAGAGCACTGTCGCCGTCTCGTGGGCCGCAGAAGCCAGCGGCGACATCCGCTCTCCGCAGCAAACCCTCGCCGTCTCGCGCTCCGCCCGCAGCATGGCGCCGCAGCCGCTGCCGGAGGAGCTGGTGGAGGAGATCCTGCTCCGGTTCCCACCCGACGACCCCGCGCGCCTCGTCGACGCCGCCCTCGTCTCCGGCGCCGGCTTCCGCCGCAGGTTCCGCGAGTTCCACCGCACCCCACCCCTGCTTGGCTTCGTCTCCAACATCCGCATCCAAGGCGACTGCGGCGCGGCCAAATTCGTCCCCACCTGCTCTTTGCCCGCGTCCCAAGTCCACAGCCGCTGGAGGGGGCGCGTCATCGACGCCCACCACGGCCGCGTCCTCCTCCACAGGATCTCCGGTGGTTGGGGTCTCCCTGGTCCGATGTTCTTATGGTCTGGGATCCTACCACGGACGAGCAGGAAGAAGTGCCCATTCCGCCTGTGCCACGGTACTCACACAACTGGACAGCGGCGGTTCTCTGCGCTGCCGGCGGCCCCTGCGACCACCTTGATTGCCGCCGGGATCCCTTCCTCATCGTTTTCGTGGGCTATGATCGGGAACATGTCGAGACAGTCCTTTGCACCTACTCATCCAGTACGTCATCATGGAGCAAGCCAATCTCCAGTAATCAGCTTCCACACGGCCGCTATATGTCCACGCACGTTGCACATGTGGAGAGTGCACTCTAGTTTGGGGTTCTCATGACAGATCATATTCTGAAGTTTGACTTGGAATCACAGGAAATTTCTTGGATTCAAATGCCACCTACATGCTCCAGCAAGTGGCCTTATGTGCTCAATACTACAGAGGGTGGTGGACATGGGTTTGCCACCATACTTGAGTCCTCAAAACTCTACGTGTGGTCCAGGGATGGTGTTTCTGAAGTAGATGCTACATGGACACAAAGCAGAGTCATTGAGCTTAAGACACTGCTCCCTGTTCATGCTGTCTTGGCCTCACCTAGAGTGCTTGGCTTCACAGTTGGTACTGGTGTCATTTTTGTGAGGTCGAACAATGTTCTTTTCGTGATTGATTTAAAGACATATAAGGTGATTAAGGAGATTTCCATGGCAAACGAGATCTACACCATCGTTCCTTACATGAGCTTCTACACTCCAGGTACAACTTTGCTTAGTTTTAGGTTTTGTAGTATTCTGGACGAGTAATATTTAGTTACCAATATGAAGTTTACATGCTATGCTCAAGAAAAACAAATTTGTGAAAATGGAATGCCACAGTCTAATATCAATGCGTTGGACCCTGTCTGAATCTTTTTATGTTGGGCCTTCATTGAAACTTGATTGATTTTCCTAGGAATTTAGGCATCTGCTATGCATGTTGTGCTCTGATGATACGGTCCTCACAACTTAGCCTCAGCGAGCAAGGTTTGCAGCATGAGATAATAAAAAAGTCACTACTCTCACTTATCTTTGATTATTTCTTTTATATATATATATATATATATTTTTTCTCAGTTATGATCTGTCAGCGCTACTTAATAACAAATATAGAAACCTGGATATTCATATCAGTCCTAGACAAACTAACAAAGAGAGTTTTCCCCTGAAGTAAATAAGTGACGTTTACCCATTTGGTTAGCCATCAGCTCGTTATTCTTTGCAGCTTAATAGAAAAAAATGTTAAGGGTACATCACTTCTCAACCAGCTGAATTAATTTTCAAAATTTGTGTTTTTCAGTTGCATTGGGAGCAGTCTCTACTGGTGAGGGACCTTGAGGAGGTGCTTGAAGTGCATGAAAAAGTTAAGGAGCTCATGTGAGTCCTTCAAGATCAAGGGGGTAGTGGTGGTGGTGGTTTTATGATATTATTTTTCTACTAAATGTAGCATTTTGGCGGGACATGTATGTAGCATCCCTGAAGTTGATGCTTGCCTTAGTGTGTCATATTCAGGGTTTCTAGTTTAATCCCTGATGTTATGTTGTCGGTACCCCGGCCCTTGCGCTGCCCTACTCTATGTGGGTATGCCCTCTATGCGTACTCTAGTACTTTAGCATGCAATGAAACCCTATAATGAAATTGGAGCATCGCAATTTCATATGTGCCACGTTACTAACCTAATGTCAATTTGGTTCACCATCTTGTGCTTCTATTTGTCATATCTCTGTGATGATGAATCAATTGTGCGAGTTTATTTTTTTCAGCTCAACCTACTTGTCGGTTCAAGCTTATCATCTAAAGAACTAAATCATACTCATTCATCTTGGTTCGTTCCTCTTTCCTGAATTCATCCGCCATTAGCATATTTCTGTGCTTCTGCTTCCTGTCCTGTCTGAATGAAAAGTAGTTTACGAAAGGATCCAGCTAAGAACATGCTACCATACTAACTGATAAAAAGTAGTTCGCTGTAGGATTTGCACAGTTTTTATTGGGTTGCACGACCCTTTTATCCAATCTGGATTTGCTTCTGCCAAGTAGCAAGTCTTCATGTGAGCTCACGTGGCCAACAAATCATGCACAATGTTCTTTTGACTCACAAAAGTACATGTCTGTTTATGCTGAATCAAAACATATATTTCTGTTCTACCTGGCCCTGTAAAATCGTGTTAACATGGCCAGCTAGCGTGATTACATTACAATTTGCGAATATATGCATTGTGTTCATTAGACTTAAATTGATCTCTGTAGGATCGGGGATTTCAGGTTAAACTGGTGAACCCCTGCATTCACCTACCCTATGTGTACTCTTGAATTTAGGCTTGGAATGAAAGCCTGGAATGACATTGGTTCCCTTGTGTAACAATATATATGGTCAAGAAATTGACCATTTCAAATTGAAACACTGCAATTTCATGGTGCCATGTTACTCTTGCCTAATTTTAGTTTGCTATAATATCTCGTGACTGGAACAATACTTAATGCGTATTTTATGCTATCTTCAGTGGCAATGCTCTCAAATAGTTTCAACAGAAGTCCACTGGATGTCCTTGCTAAAATGTGTGTGGTGTGTTTATTGCTGAATTGTTTATGCTATCTTCAGTGGCAATGCTCTCAAATAGTTTCAACAGAAGTCCACTGGATGTCCTTGCTAAAATGTGTGTGGTGTGTTTATTGCTGAATTGCAGATATTTTTAGTTCACTTACAAATGAAAAGCATGGAAAGGTTGAAAGGGTAGCTGCTATGGAGACTGACTGGAGAGTCAGAGCTGAAAGTTTGAGAAACATCCACACACCATACATGAGTAATGGTTTTTGAATAATTCATGTTCTGCATATTAATTAGAGAACCATCACTGCACTATTCTGCAATAATATTGGAACAACAGAAAACTTAAGATACGTTATTCACATTTTCATATATTGTTGGAGCATGCCATATCCCTAATGCTCATGTATGTTTGCAGAGCACGATCCTTAGAAAGCTATTTCCTTTGTTGAGAATTTGTGGATTAAAAATTGGCCTAGAGGCAGCTTTTGTTCTGTCAGTTAGCCAAAAGTGCAGCAAGGGCCACCGGTTAATGTACTAGTTTACAATTTACATAACATAAAATTGGTTGCTGATGTGATAATCTGATTTCTCTGACCTTCGTATATACATGCTCTACAGAGAGGTTACATCTATCATAGATAGTGATGGCTCGTTTGCTTATACTAAGGCTCGGAAGTCAACAGTCAAAGAGTTTATTGTTTTGGCTTAGTAGCTCACTAAGCAAATGCTCGGGGTTCAACAAGAGAGAAAAAGATACTTGGTGTATATACAGAAAAAGTCATTCAGAAAGTCAGAGCAATCAGATGAAAGAGAAAGCAGTCTGAAAGGTGAAGCATGTGAATGGACTATTGACTTAGCAGTCCCAGAGTTCAAGCATGTGAGTGGACTATTGACTAACTCAGTACAGCCTTTGGTTTCCTTGCGTGCGTCTTTTCTGATGTCCTTGTTCTCCTTGAAGTTTCAACAAGCGGCAGAGAGTACACAGATTCAGAAACATCCATCTTGTTGTTTGTTCTCTTATCCATCCACAACATTGTCTTCAAGAGAGACCCCAAATGGAGATTTTCTTTTCTGGTGTTCTGGGTGAGCTGACTGCTAGATCTATAAATTTCATCATTAACAAGTACTTCAAACGATGTGTGTTGCTGACAGCCTACAAAGGGCTCTCCTCTGGGTGCAGATCATCGTTGATGAGGCCATGGGATGGTACATCACAAACCAAAGCCATGCTCCGGCAACTGGACATATGTTGAGAGATGCTATGCATCGAGGCTGCTATGCCCTTGACACTTTCAGGTAACAAGCTCATGACAAGGAGTACGCCAAAGATGTCCACCTTCTATTCTAGTCTTTTTTTTTTTTAAAAAAAAGTTGTGAGAGAAGTCTTCATTATTTGTCTGCTTGCTGCATGACGAAAAGTCTCGTGCTCCCATCCAGGCCCCACCTGTCAGCGTGTTTGGACCATGGGGCCTTGGTATAGTTGGCCATACAGTCCGAGCTCGTCGGCCTAGCCCAAAGCTTGTTTTTTTGGCCCGGCCCGGCGGCTAGTGGGCCCGGACTGGCATGGTCCGGAGAAGCAGGTTGTATCTGGGTCTTACCCCAGGCACCTGGGCCGGCACGGCACGGCTCGCTAGACAACCGCAGGCCGGCTGACGGCCCAGCCTGCCCCCTGTCCGCGCTCCGCTTATATAAGCGGGGACTCCCCGCTCGGCCGCCTGACCCTAACCCTAAATCCCGCCGCGCCGCTCCATTCTCGCGCTTCCGTCTCGCCTCCCGTTCTCAAGGCTGGTGGTGAAGGTCCAAGGCGTCGTTGGGGCTGTCCTTGCAAACCCTCGCCGCCTCACGCTCCGCTCGCAGCATGGCGCCGCCGCCGCTGCCGGAGGAGATGGTGGAGGAGATCCTGCTCCGGTTCCCGCCTGACGACCCGGCGCGCCTCGTCCACGCCGCCCTCGTCTGCAAGCCCTGGTGCGCCATCCTCTCCGGCGCCGGCTTCCGCCGAAGATTCGGCAAGTTGCACCGCGCCCCACCCCTGCTCGGCTTTGTCTCCAACGTCCGCATCCAACCTGACCGCATGGCGCCTGAATTCGTCCCCACCTGCTCCATGCCCGCGTCCCACATCCCCGTCTACAGCCGCATGGGCCGCGTCGTCGACGCCCACCATGGCCGCGTCCTCCTCCACAGGATCTCCGGTGGTTGGGGTCTTCCCACGTCCAATGTCCTTATGGTCTGGGACCCTACCACGGACGAGCAGGAAGAAGTGCCCATTCCGGCTGTGGCGCGGTACACGCACACGCACAACTGGACAGCGGCGGTTCTCTGCGCTGCCGGCGGCCACTGCGACCATCTTGATTGCCGACGGGGTCCCTACTCCATCGTTTTCGTGGGCTATGATCAGACACATTTCGAGACAGTCCTTTGCACCTACTCATCCAGTACTGCATCATGGAGCAAGCCAATCTCCAGTAATCAGGTTCTAGACTGCCACTATATGTCCACACACGTTGCACATGTGGAGAGTGCACTCTACTTTGGGGTTCTGAAGAAGACAGATCATATTCTGAAGTTTGACTTGGAGTCACAGCAAATTTCTTGGATTCAAACGCCAGCTGCATGCTCCAATGGGCGGCCTTATGTGCTCACCACTACAGAGGGTGGTGGACTAGGGGTTGCCGCCATACATGAGTCCTCCAAACTCTACATGTGGTCCAGGGATGATGTTTCTCAAGTTGATGCTACATGGACACAAAGCAGAGTCATTGATCTTAAAACATTGCTCCCTGTTCATGCTGTCTTGGACTCACCTAGAGTGCTTGGCTTCACAGTTGGTACTGGTGTCATTTTTGTGAAGTCAAACAATGTTCTTTTTGTGATTGATTTGAAGACCTATAAGGTGATTAAGGAGGTTTCCAAGCCAAGAGACATCTACACCATCGTTCCATACATGAGCTTTTACACTCCAGGTACAACTTTGCTTAGTTTTAGGTTTTGCAGTATTCTGGACGAGTAGTATTTAGTTACCAATATGAAGTTTACATGCTATGCTCAAGAAAAACAAATTTATGAAAATGGAATGCCACAGTCTAATATCAATGCGTTGGACCCTGTCTGAATCTTTTTATGTTGGGCCTTCATTGAAACTTGATTGATTTTCCTAGGAATTTAGGCATCTGCTATGCATGTTGTGCTCTGATGATATGGTCCTCGCAACTTAGCCTCAGCGAGCAAGGTTTGCAGCATGAGATAATAAAAAAGTCACTACTCTTGCTTATCTTTGATTATTTCTTTTTATATATATATATATATATATATATATATATATATATATATATATATATATTTCTCAGTTATGATCTGTCAGCGCCACTTAATAACAAATATAGAAACCTGGATATTCATATCAGTCCTAGACAAACTAACAAAGAGAGTTTTCCCCTGAAGTAAATAAGTGACGTTTACCCATTTGGTTAGCCATCAGCCCGTTATTCTTTGCAGCTTAATAGAAAAAAATGCTAAGGGTACATCACTTCTCAACCAGCTGAATTAATTTTCAAAATTTGTGTTTTCAGTTGCATTGGGAGCAGTCTCTACTGGTGAGGGACCTTGAGGAGGTGCTTGAAGTGCATGAAAAAGTTAAGGAGCTAATGTGAGTGCTTCAAGTTCAAGGGGGTAGTGGTAGTGGTGGTGGTTTTGATATTACTTCTACTATATGTAGCATTTTGGTGGGACATCTATGTAGCATCACTGATGTTGATGCTTGTCTATGTGTGTGATCTTCAGGGTTTCTAATTTGATCCCTGATGTTATGTTGTCTGGCTTCCCCTGCACTGTCCTACTCCATGTCTCTGTGTGGGTATGCCCTCTGTGTCACTGTGTGTAGTATTTTGGTGTGCAATGAAACCCTATAATGAAATTAACTCATTGCAGTTTCATATGTGCCTTGTTATTTCTGATCTAATGTCAATTTGGTTCAACATCTTGTGCTTTTACTTGTCACATTCTATGTGATCATGATTCATGAGTCATGTGTGAGTTTATTTTTTCAGCTCAAGCTATTTGTCGGTTCATGCTTATCATCAAAAGAACAAAATCATACTCATTCCACTTGGTTTGTTTCTCTTTCCTGAATTCATCAGCCATTACCATGTTTCTTTGCTTCCTGTCCTGTCGGAATGAAAATTAGTTTACTAAAGGTTCCAACTAAGAACATCATGGACCCTCTTGCCTAACTTGTAAAAGGCAATTCACTGTAGGATTTGCACAGTTTTTTATGGGGTCGCACAACCCTTTGATCCAAGCTGGATTTGCTCCTGCCAAGTAGCAAGTCTTCATTTTTTTTGAATGCAATGGTAGGAGCTCTGCCTTTCAATTAAGTAGGGGAGTAAAAGAGTTTATGTACAAGCAAAGAAAGGTGAGTGGGTGTCAGGCCACAGTTGCAGAAAAAACATAGAGAAACACCCTCAAAATGCTACGCGTGAGTGAAAGCTCTCTTTGCTCGATGTTGTCCTTAATTCTTGCAGCCATCTGTAGCACCGTCTCTGAGGTGTTGTTGAAAATTCTCTTGTTACGCTACTTCCAGATGTTCCAAAAGGTGTAAATCACCATCCCATTGAGCCGTCTTCGCTCTGAAGTTGGCACCTTGTTGTCTCGTCCCACCATGCTTTGATATGCACAGGGTCGGTCTGAGCCTGTGACCGCAGCTCAGGGAGGTTCTCCCAAGAGATGACTTGGTTCCAAACTGCCTTAGCAAAGGGGCAACACAAGCATAGGTGCAGGCCGGTTTCTAAGGGACCATTGCAAAGAACACAATGTTCTTGATTTGGCCATCCTCTTTTCTGTAGATTATGAGCTGTAAGAATCTTGTCTTGCACTAGAATCCAAGCAAAGATCTTGCATTTGTTCTCCACTTACGCTCTCCAAATTAGATCACTTCGGAATAGACCGAAGGAGCCTTTGAATTGGATTCGATATGTTGAACGGGTGGAATAAACCCCGTCCAGGGTCTATCTCCATGCGATGGAGTCTCTAATGCCTTGCTGGAGGTGCACGTCTTGAATCCTCATCCATAGGGAGCAATGTTTTTGAGGCGCCGCGCCCCCTTCACAACGCCTAGGCGTTTGTGGTGGACGCCTAGGCGACGCCATACACACATTGTAAGGCGTTGTAAGCTAGAATTTTATATACTAGTGGAGCACATAGATACCTCGTTTGTTGTCAATTCTTGAGCCCATGTTCCTTTCTTTCCTTTCCAAAAGCTCTTCTCCCGCACTAGTGCAGAGCAGACAAGCAGAGCACATACATATACTAGTGCAGCAGTACAAGCAGAGCAGACAGCAGAGCACGTTGGAAAAGGGCCCGACGGAAGACAAGCAGAGCAGACAAGCAGATAAGCAGAGCAGAGTGGAGGCGCCCGACGGAGGCGCAGAGAGCAGAGAGCAGACAAGCAGAGCATACCAGGCGGAAGGGCCCGACGGAGGCGCAGTCAAGCGGAGATGCAGGGGCGGAAGGGCCCGATAGGCTCCACGGTAGGGGCGGACGGCCAGATGCAGGGCCGGCCGGCCGGTGGACACGAGCAAAGTCCGCGCCCAGCGGAGGTCGAGGTACGTCCGCCGCCTTCTCTCTTCCCCTCTCCTCGCCCGCACTCGCGGTGAATGACTCGCACGCTAGATTTCCCACGCGAAGAATCTACCTGGGCGCCCGCGCGGTCGATTTCCCGCGGGGCCATACTCCTTTTGGCGCCCTTACCCTACGACCGGCATCCGGTGTCCGTGGCGCGGTTGTAGGCGTCCGCCCGACGCCATTTGCGCCTAGGCGACGCCTAACCCTATGAGGCGGACGCCATACACGCTGAGGTCGTGGAGACCCCGACGCCCAGGCCCTCGACCACGCCTTGTCGCCTAGGCGACGACTAGGCGACGCCTCAAAAACATTGATAGGGAGACAAATTCTTCAATGTGGACAACTGAGGTGATTCTTCCCCTTAGCGAGCGTATCCAATTATTGTTTCGTAGTTCATGTTGTACTGTTTTGTTCTTTCTCATAGCAAGCTGAAACAAGTTTGGGGCTAGATATCTGTGAGCCTCTCCCTCGAGCCAATTGTGGTGCCAGAAGCGGGCCTTTGCGCCATCACCCAATGTTATTTTGATTGATGAGTTGAAGAGGAGGCGGTCAACATCACTGCAAGGGAGTTCTGATCCGAGCCACGGTTTTGATTCTTCCACCCATTCTTGCCATAGCCAACGTAGGCGTAGAGCTCTTCCAAATCTGTCCAGATCAGGCACCCCTAAGCCCCCGAGATCCTTAGGTCTGGTAACTATGGGCCAGTTAACTAGGCAGTGTCCGCCTTTGGCATTCTCCTCCCCCTTCCACAAGAATGATCTCCTAATTTTGTCAATTTTCCTCCTTGCCCAAGCAGCCAAGGGAAACACTGTGAGGTGGTAGGTTGGCATGGAGGAGAGGACTGAACTGACCAAAGCGAGGCGCCCTGCTTTGTTTAGCCATCGCCCTTTCCATTTCGGTAGCCTTTGTCCAATGCGCTCAATGAGAGGCTGAACATGGACCTTCTGAAGCTATCTAGTGTGAAGTTGCAGCCCCAGATATTTGCGTGGGAAGGCGCCTCTGCTACCAGTGAAGGGTGATAGGACTTGATCTAGGTCCCCATTTTCACATCTGATTGGGTGTACAGAGCTCTTTTGCTAATTTATGTAGCAAGTCTTCATGTGAGCTCACGTGGCCCACAAAACTTGGAAAATGTTCAGGTTCGTGTTTTGGCTCACAGAAGTAGATGATCTCTGTTCTATCTGGCCCTGCAAAATCATGTTACCATGGCCAGCTAGCATGATTACATTACTATTTGTGAATATATGGATTGTATTCAGTAGACTTGAATTGATCTCTGTAGAATTGGGGATTTGAGGTGAAACTTTTGAATCCTGCGTTCACCTACCCTACGTGTACTCCTGAATTTTAGCTTGGGATGAAAGCCTGGAATAACTATGGTTCCCTTGTGGAACAATATGTATGGTCAAGAAAACAACCATTTCAAGTTGAAACACTGCAATTTCATCATTTCATAGGGCCATGTTACTATTGCCTAATTTTTGTTTGCTATAATATCTTGCGACTTGAATAGTCCTTGTTGCGTGTTTTATACCATCTTCAGTGGCAGTGCTCTCTAATAATTTCAACAGCAGTCCACTGGATGTCCTTGATAAAATGTGTCATCTGTGTTTATTTGATGAATTGCTGCCGATATTTGTTAGTTCACTTACAAATGAAAAAAAGGGAAGGTTGAAAGGGTAGCTGCTATGGAGACTTACTGGAGAGTAACTTTGCACTGAAGGTTTGAGAAACATCCACACACCATGCATGAGTAATGGTTTTTGAATATTCATGTTCTGCATATCAATTAGAGAACCATTGCTGCACTCTTAATGTCGGAACAACAGAGTACTTAAGATACGTTATTCACATTTTCATATATTGTTGGAGCATCTCATATCCCTAATGCTCAGGTTTGTTTACAGAGCACAATCCTTAGAAAGTTATTTCCTCTGTTGAAAATTTGTGGAGCAAAAATTGGCCTAGAGGCAGCTTTTGTTCTGTCAGTTAGCCAGTAGTGCAGCATTAATGCAGTTTACAATTTACAAAACATAAAATTGGGTGCTGATGTGATAATCTGATTTCTCTGACCTTCGTATATACATTCTCTACAGAGAGGTTACATCAATCATAGATAGTGATGGCTCAGTTGCTTATACTAAGTAAAGGTTCGGAAGTCAACAGCCAAGAGTTCATTTTTTTGGCTTAGTATCTCACTAAGCAAACGCTCGGGGTTCAACAAAGAGAGAAAAATATACTTTGTGTATATACAGAAAAAGTCATTCAAAAGTCAGAACAATCAAGGGAAGGGGAAAACAGTCCGAATTCTGAAAGTTGAAGCATGTGGATATGAACTATTGACTTGACAGTCCCAAAGTTCAAGCATGTGAGTGGATTTTTGACTAAGTACAGCCTTTGTTTCCTTGAGTGCATATTTTCTGTTGTCCTTGTTCTCCTTGAAGTTTCAACAAGAGGAATAGGATACACAGAGATTCAGAAACATTCATCTTATTGTTTGTTCTCTTATGCATCCACAGCATTGTCTTCAAGAGAGACCCCAAATGGAGATTTTCCTTTCTGCTGTTCTGGGTGAGCTGACTGCTAGATCTATAAACTTCATCATTGACGATTGCTTCAAGCCTCAGGCGGAGACGCTGTGTGTTGCTGAAAGCCTGCAAAAGGCTCTCCTCCTGATGCAGATCATCGTCGATGAGGCCATGGGACGGTACATCACAAACCAAGCCATCCTCCAGCAGCTAGACATGCTGAGAGATGCTATGCACCGAGGTTGCTATGCCCTCGACACTTTCAGGTACGCTCATGACAATGTCACCAAAGATAAGATTGTTAGTTGTTGCTCTCTGTCTATAGGAAACTCTGCAAAGGGTCTCTGTTTCCCCAGAAGCGCACAGAACTTGGGATGATTACAGGAGGCACTTGACAGATTGAGCTCCATGATTGCAGATGTGGATGAGTTGGTCATGTACTCATGTCCTTGATGAGCTGCCCTCTCCTTTATCACCAGCCTTACAACATGCATATCCTGCTGGGTAGCTGCATGTTTGGCCGCCAAATAGAAGGAGAACGCATAATCAAGTTCCTGTTGCATGCACAACCTCATGGCTGTGAAGAGTTGGAAGTCCACCCAGGTTGGTCCTGGCAAAATTGGAAAGAGCACCCTTGTCACTCTTGTTTGCAACGCATAATCAAGTTCCTGTTGCATGCACAACCTCATGGCTGTGAAGAGTTGGAAGTCCACCCAGGTTGGTCCTGGCAAAATTGGAAAGAGCACCCTTGTCACTCTTGTTTGCAAGGATGAAAGAGTCCTTGTTCATTTCTCAGAAATCTTGTTCTTGCATGATCCTGATTTTATTGCTGACAAGGTAGCTACTTTCACAGAACGATGTGCTTCCAACTCTGGGATTTTAGAGTTGTGTCCAACTTACAGAAACGTGTTGAATTCTTTTTAATTGGTTCAATGTTGTTGCCGTTTTTGTCAACAAATTGGATCCACACGGTTACATGTTCGGTGATTTGCATGATTGGTTGACAAGTCAGTGACTTACCAGCTTCTTACTGCAAGACAACAAGGGCTCCGTTTGGCGTCCATAAGGTAGATTGTTGGTAGATCGTTCGTCATTGTAGACAAGCTTGTCTGATACCTTGATTCATCAGTGGCATTTGAAATGTAATGAACCAAGAACAACATTAGCATGAGAAGGGGTCTCCGCTGCGATGTAGATGCATGCATTTTGGGTTAATTAGATCCATACCAGGATAAATTTAACGTGCCACTATTTCTAATCTAATAGGGTTGGTGCCATTATAATCTATACATAATAATAAAGATATAAAATTTCCGCCGTTTTTTTGTACTCATTTTTTTTTTGTATGGCCTCCTTTAACTGAATGTAAAAACTCTTTCTGTTTGTCTCTGTACAACTATCATGTTTTATATATATAATAACATACGTAGGCCTTGTTGAGATAACCTGGATAGCTACGGATTTAAATCAGTAACCTGAATAGTGAATAGGTACGAATCCTAATCCTAATCAAATAGATCCTTCAGATTTACATCCCAATATAAGTTCAGATCCTTTTCAATTTATTTATCTGTCCCTATCTGTCTAGCCTTTCTTTTTCTTTTTTTCCCGGTAGCGTCCAGCGTTCGTTTTGCTTAGCGTTTCCTGTTTCCTTTTCATTTTCCTTGGGCTTCATAGAATATTATTATATTATTGCCAAAAACTTATATTGGTCCCGTTCGCTTCGCTGAAAAAACAAATCGAATCCGATTGATTTGTTGTGAGAGAAAAACATTGTTCCGGCTAAAAAAACTAGCTGAAAAAAAAACGGATTATAAGAGCGAACATGGCCATTATAGATGTCTATTTTATCCTTATCCCAAATATTTGTCCCACTTGGTTTTAATCTTTCTGATTTTTTTAGCATGGTTTTTTTCCAGCCCTTTTCTTTTGGGCCGGTAGTTTTTTAATTTCCTTGTAAACATAAAAAAATAAATATAAAACATTATTATGGGTCTTTGAGCCATTGATATTTTTCTAAGAAATAAAGTTTTCACCATCAATTTATTGATATAGTTTTGAATAGAAACAAAACTTATTCTTATTAAAATCGGCCAATATAATCAAATCATGAATTAAAATCTTAAGCATTTTGTTGACTAATCCGGTCTAAATAAATCTATCTCTACAATCCTCGATGAGGGTTGCTGAGAGACATCTCTGATCGTAATCATCGACGACACGTCAAAAACTAACTTATTGTCGATTTTAATCGGAGATTAGAATTAGAGTTATTATGTATTTATGGGTTCTCTTAGAAAACCAAGAAGCTCGGTATTTAACTATAGCAACACAACACTAGAAAGCATCAAAATTAAAGTTATTATATATTTATGTTTAAATATTTTTGTTCTTTGCAACGGGAGAAAAAAAGTTGTGTATTTTAATTTGACATGGGCTTAATAGAACATTATTATATTATTGCCAACATTAACTTAAATTATAGATGTCGGTCATCGTAGAATAAATTATAGATTTAAATTTTATAAAAATAAAGATAAAACATAAATAGATGTGTATCATTTCTGTCGTAATTTTCTATTATCATTTGATATATTTTTTTTCTTCCATTGCAACGTGCGAGCAAATTTGCTAGTTTCTCTAAAACTTGAAATACACCACTTTGTACTTCCCATACTCCCCTCTCTCCTACTCGCCAACATATGGGACCCAGTCTCCCCTTAAGCCTTGTGCCGAGCACTGGAGGTGATCTGCTGCAGCCCAATTCTCTCCCTCATCTCCTAGAACTTGGACTTCGCCAACGACTTGGTGAGAATGTCAGCCAGCTGATTAGTAGTGGCAATGTGGCTGGTCTTGATGCACCCGTCTTCCAAGTAATATCTGATGAAGTGGTACTTGATGCGGATGTACTTGCTTCTTTCATGGAAGACAAGGTTCTTGGCCAGAGCTAGAGCAAACTTGTTGTCCACCTTCAGCTCAACCACATCCACCGCTGCCAAGGAGCTCTGCCAGCATCCTTGAGAGCCATAGCGCCTGTGTTGCGGTAGTGGTGGTGGCGATGTACTCTGCTTCATAGCTTGAGAGGACCACCACCTTCTGCTTGAGGGACTACCAGCTAACCAAGCAATCACCGAGGAAGAACATCGTCCCGGTTGTGCTCTTGCTGGTATCCACATCGCTGGCGAGGTCGCTATCGTAGTAGCCGACGAACCACGCCATGTCAGGGGCCCTTCCGTAGTGAAGACCGTAGTCAAGGGTGCCTGCCACGTAGCGTAGGATTCGCTTGACGGCCTACAAATGCTCCATCGCCGGCCGCTCTATGAACTGTCTCATGTACCCGACGACGAATGCGATGTCGGGCCAGGTATGGACCAGGTAGCGCAAGCTCCCAATCAGCCGCCAGTAATGGGTTGGATCGACCTCGTCCGCCATGCTCTCCCGACTTAGCTTGAGCTTCTCCTCCATCGGGGTGTGGGCCGGATTGCAGCCTGTCATGCCGCCGAGCTCGAGGGTGCGCTTGGCGTAGTGGGTTTGGTAGAGGGCGATCCTGGTGGCATCCTAGCGCACTTTGACGCCGAGGTAGAAGCAGAGGAGGCCAAGATCGCTAATGTCGAACGCCTTCATCTGCGCCTTGAACACCTCCACCTTCTGCTCTTTAGTGTCGGTGATGATGAGATCGTCGACGTAGACACCAACCAATAGAACGTTGCGTTCGCTGCCCTGCCGATACACCGCCGCCTCATGCGCGCTCTGTTTGAAGCCCATCTTCTTGAGTGTGGCATCGAGCTTCGTGTTCTAGGCGCGCGGTGCTTGGCGTAGGCCATAGAGTGCCTTGCGCAGGTGGTACACCTTCCCCTCTTCTCTGGCGATGGCGTAGCCAGGTGGCCGGCGCACGTAGACCTCCTCCTTGAGATCGCCGTTGAGGAAGGCGGACTTCACATCCATGTGGTGGACTTGCCACCCCTCTTGAGCCGCCAGCGTGAGGAGGACATGGACTGACTCCATGCGCGCCACGGGAGTGAATGCATCGTCGTAGTCGATCCCCTCCTTTTGAACGAAGCCACGCGCCACCAGCCATGCCTTGTGCTTTATCACCGCGGCCAGCTCGTCTTTCTTAAGCTTGAACATCCACTTTAGGGTGATAGGGCGGTGGCCGTCAGGTAGTGGCACCAGCTCCCAGGTGCGATTCTGCTCGATGGACTTGAGCTCCTGCTCCATCGCTGCCCGACACGTCAGATCACCCTACGCCTCAACGTAAGTGGTCGGCTCACCGGCATGCATCAGATGAATCTAGGTGAAGGGCCTCTCGGGCTGGTCCGTTGAAGACTGGTCACCGAGGATGCTTGCCATGGTGTGGTATCATAGTGGCTCATCGTCGTAGTAGGTGTCCAGGCGACCTTCATTGTCCTCCAGCGGCGTGGCGTACTCGACCTTCGACTGCCCTACGTGTGCTGGTGTCATAGCGGGCGAGGTAGAAGACATCGAGGAGGTCGGCTGGTATGTTGGAGAGATTGGCTGCGATGATGTAGAGGTCGAAGAGGTCGGCTGCGGTGCTGGAGAGGTCAAAGCTGCTACCGATGGGCTGCCGACCACCACTGATGGGCTGCCGAGCTCCGCCGATGGGCTGCCAAGCTCCCTCGGATTTGGTGATGGCGAACGAGGCGGTGTTGGTGAAGAGGTCAGCGTTGGTGATGAAGACCCATACGTTAATGAAGATGCACCTTGTGCTTCCTCAGCACCTCCAGCCCACGCGTACTCGACGGTGAAGTCACGAAGTGTGGTCTCTGACCCATCATCCACTGCCTTGTCCCATGCCCAGCCGCGTCCTTCATCGAACACAATGTCGCACGCCACGTGCATGTGCCATGTCGTCGGGTCAAGCACGCGGTAGGCCTTAGCCCCTTCTACGTAGCTGATGAAGACCCTCGACGAGCTACGATCGTCGAGCTTGCCGATGTGGTTCAACTCCTTGACGAAGGCGAGGCAGCCGAAGACGCATAGGTAGCTGACCGCCGGCTTGCGCCCGTGCCAGGCCTCATATGGCATATTGCCATTGAGCGCACTGGTCGAAGAGCGGTTGAGCAGGTGTACGGCGGTCATCACGGCCTCTCCCCAGCAAACCGCTAGCATACCACACTGCTTGAGGAGAGAGTGTGCCGCTGCCACCATCGTCTGATTATGGTGCTCGACCATGCCGTTCTACTGCGGTGAGTAGGGGTGCAGAGTAGTGGCGATGGACCCCCTCGTCGACGCAGTACGCCGTGAACTCAGCTGCTGTGAATTCGCCACCATTGTTCGTGCGGAGCATCCGGAGCTTGCGGTCGCACTCCTCTGCGGCTGCCTAGTGGCGCTTGATGGCGTTCGTAGCTGTCGCCTTGGAATCGAGCAGCACGACCCACATATAGCGGGTAGCGTCGTCGATGAGCAGTAGGAAGTAGCGCCGACCTCCAGGAGTGGCCGGTGGCACTGGACCGTAGAGGTCGCCGTGCACCAGCTCGAGCTGCTTGGTGGTGCGGTAGGAGGCTTGACGCGGGAAGCACCGGCACTTTAGCTTGGTCACCACATAGGTGTCGCAGAGCTGCTCGACGTGGTCGACGCAGGGCATGCCATGGACCATTTCCTTCTTGCAGAGCTGCTTTTAGGGCTTCGATGTGTAGGTGCACGAAGTGCTCATGCCAGCGCCACACCTCATCATCCCGACGCATGGCAAGGCAGGGGGTGTGCCACCTATACATGGAGCACATAAAGGCAGTTGCTTCCCTGGTTTACCTTGGCAAGAAGACAACAGCCTCTATCCCAGATGCGCAGCACGCCATCCTCAATCTCCACCCGTGAGCCATTCTCGTCTAGGTGTCGGACACTGATGATGGAGTTCTTCAAGGCCGGGATGTAGTACACCCCGGTGAGAAGACGGTGCTCCCCCATCTTGGCCTTGAAGATGACCGAGCCAACGACCTTGATCTCGACGGCAGAGGCGTCACCGAACTTGATGGAGCCCTTCACGTCAGAGTCTAGGTCAAAGAAGAACTCGCGTCGACCAGTCATGTGGTGCATCACACCAGTGTTGAGGTACCAGCCATCGATCTTGTCATCGGCGACACCTTTGCCGAGGAAGGCATGGGCGCGTGGTGCGTCGAGGTGGAGCTCGGCGGAGCCAGCCGACCCGAAAAGGGGAAAGCTTGGACCTTTGACCCCCTCCCCTGTGTCTTGTTGCAGCTTGACGCACCCCGTGCACCAGGAATAGGGTGGCATCCTGCTCCTCTGCTTGTGCGACGTGAACCTACCCACCATGGCGTGGAGGAAGGTGGCAGTCCTTGGCCCAGTGGCCAGTCCTGCCACAGTTGTTGCAGGTGTCATTCTGGGTCGCCTTGCGCTTGCCGGCGGTGCCGCCATCGGCACCGACCTGGCCCCAGGGTGCCTTCTCCTCCTTGCCACCACGCGGACATCGGTGATGCTCCTTGGAGCCGGACGAACTGGATCCTTCCTCCTTCATCTTCTTGTCGAAGGCGCGCCACTGCTCCATCGTGTACAGCAGCTTGCCTCCGGTGGCGCCCTGCTCAGAGTTTGGCGCCTGCTCGCGGTCTTGCACTGCCTTGAGCCTCCCGATGACGTCCTCGACGGTGAGCTGCTCGAAGTCAAGGAGCGTCTCGATCGAATTGACGATATGCACGTACCTCTTCGGCATGCAGCGGAGGAATTTCTCCACCGCGCGCTCCGCCATGAGGTCGGTGTCGCCGTTGCGCGCCATTTACTCTGTCAGATTGGTAAGACAGAGGGCAAAGTCCTTGACTTGCTCACCAGGTTGAAAGGCGAGGCCTTCCCACTCCCCTTAGAGGCGCTGCAACATCGTTCGGCGTACACGATCTCTGTCGATGCGTGCCGCGGCGATCAATTCCCACGCTAGCTTTGTCGTAGCCTTGTTGGCGAGGGAGGCGCCAAGCTCGGTGGGGACGGCGGCGCACAACGCCTCCAGCTCCCGGCGATCGTCGTTGTAGTCGCTGCCGCCGACGTGAACCGCCTCCCACAGCCGTCGGGCCTGCAGCTTGACATTCATCAGCAGGCTCCACTCGTGGTAGTTCGCGGTAGATCGGCTGCAGAACTGGGGAGCGGCCGTGCCGACCACGACGCCGCTCTGGTGACGTCGACTGGCGGCGGCGCCTGACCAGTCTACGCGATCCTCCAGCTGGCTCCGGCTCCCGCTCCATCTCGACGTGCAGCGCTGCGGCCGTGGGTACCGTGGCCTGGGCTGCAGCCGCCGCTTGCCTGGCCATCTCGGCCGCTGCCTCTGCGGCAGCAAGGTACCAGATTGTTGGCCCGATTGGATATCAGATTCAGATCACCAAAGGGCAGCTTGGCCTTTGGCCGCTTGGATTGAATGGAAATGCAATGGCTTTTTTTACAATGACACTCGCTTGCCCTTTATAAATAAAGGAGACTCTCATTTGCTACAGCATATTATAACCACTAAAGTGGATGCTGAGCATATTACTAACTCTAGGCTTGGAACCCAAGAAAAATAAAAGTGCAGGATACAGGTGCTTTGGCACTAGGCTTATCTATCACATGAATCCTATCTGTCCCAGTAAAACCACATTATCATTTTTCCTCTTGATTACGTCTACAGTAGTATAGTTTATTCTGATGCCCATTCTGACAGCAGTGTCGAAGGGTATGGTGTTTGTCTGAATTTTGTACTGGTGGTTGAATCTCTTATTATCACAGAACTGGGTAGAAATTCGTTCCTCTTACTTTGGTGCACCTTCCTAAACACTTGAGGCATCTCATTTCAACTGTCATCAGTAGGTTCTGTAGCTGAGTTTCTGTCAGTTTGAATGGAACAAGATTGCGGCCAAGTACCATGCAGCAGGTGGTGATGGGTGAATTTGAAGCATTAGCAACGTTCAGGGTTTTCAGTTTTGACTTGTTGGAGCTATTTGTTCTGTGCGTGCCTGGCAGTGCCAAACGGGAATGAAGTTGGTTATGCTGTTTGAGGGAGGCTGTCCTTCCAGCCTTATGTTGCATCGTTTCTACTTCATGTAATAACTCAAAACAGGTCGGCTGCCGACCCTATTATTTCAGCTGAGGTGTCTGATCAACCGGAGGGTGTGTGTCTCGCACCCCAGGATTGTTGATCAACGCCTGGTTGTCTCTTGTATTTATGTTTCACCCCCCTCTTAATGAAAATTGCTCAAGTTGCATGTTCCCAAAAAAAAAAGTTGGTTATGCTGAAAAAATGAATCTGAAGTTTAGTTTAGTGAACTACCATTGGGGAGTGTCCTTCAGTTCTGATTCAGTTTACAAGTAGAGCAGTATAGGTCTCTCATATCTTCATGGTGAATGAATTGAAAATATAATCTCGAGTAAAAAAAAAAGAATAGTTGCAACTATGCATGTAAACCAAACCCTGCACAAGAAATTAGCTGGTGTTGGTTGGTGATTTTTTTTGGAAATGAACAGTAGTTGGTGATATCTGAAATCACCGTATCACTCAAGGAGAAGATGAATTCTTTGGCATGTACAAAGAGTAACAAGATGGAAACATGAACAATGAGCTCGATGACTTCACTGTATTACTCATGTGGCACTCGCTTACCTCCAATCGATAGCTTAAATAAATTAACAACAACTTTATTTAATCTTTTTCGTAAGAGAGCCTCCTTTGGAATTGAAGATTTTTTCCTCAGCTTAGTTTTTCTTGTAAAAATGTGCCGATTCCTCTAAAATTGCTATACAATTCTTGTTTGACATGTTCCAATCAGCTCTACCTCTAGTTCATAGTTACAGTGCAGAGACGAGCGTACTAGCATCTTTATCGGTTCTTAGCTTATTTTTGATATATAATTAGATAATATAGGAAAAAACAGGTGTTTTTTTAAAAGGAAAAAGAACAGCTCCTGTGCACGGCCAAATTTGTCCACTGGCCCCACCTGGCAGAGCAGCTCCACCTCCACGAGCTACCTGTTGAGAAGCCGAACCGCAGCTGCCCCCTCCCATTTCACTCCAGTGTCGATCTCGGCCCCACCGACAAAATCCGCCGCCCGCCCCCATCGCTGGGGGCCTGGGCCGCACCAAGCAAACATCCAGCATGGGTCCGCCGCGGGTGGCACCGCTGCCGGATGAGCTCGTGGAGGAGATCCTCCTCCGCATCCCGCCGACCGACCCCGCAACCCTCGCGCGCGCCGCCGTCGGCCAGAACTGGTGGTGCCGCCTCGTCGCCGGCGACAGCTTCTGCCGCTGGTACCACACCCGCCACCGCGTGCCCCCTACGCTAGGCTTCTTCTGCAACTTCCCTAGGGACGGCGACGGCTTCTCCACCAGCTTCGTCCCCGCGTCCTCCGTCCGACCCAAGCGCTGCGCCGACCGTCGCCAGCTTCTCCCAGTGGGGTTCAGTCAAACCCAGCCTTCGCCTCGTCGTCTGGGACCCCATTACGGGCCACCGGGTGAAGCTGCCGAGGCCGAAGGGCTTCTGCTACGAGTGGAACTGGAAAGCCACGGTGCTCTGCGCCGCCCCTGCCGGCTCGTGCGACCACCTCGATTGCCACCGTGGGCATTTCATCGTGGTCCTCATCGGCGACCACTCAAGGGGTATGCTCTCCTGCGTCTCCTCATCACAGGATGGCATGTGGAGCAAAATCAACTTGGCATGGCACCTCCGTGCCTCTCTTGGTGTGTACAGTGAGCGCAGCGCCCATGCGGGGAATGCACTCTACTGCATGTTAGACGAGGAAAATAATATCCTCAAGTATGATTTGGGCACACAGGAATTTTCTGTGATAGAACCACCTGTTATGCTCTCACGCGATGAATTTACTGGATCTGAGCGAATTCAACTCACCACCAAGGTTTTCATTATCGGAAATAAAAATTTATCGGAGGTCATGGATAAATACGATAAGCAAGATATATCGGAAATATCGGACCAAATTCAAAAAAAATTCAAATTGTTTTGAAAAAAATCCGTAGAATTTGACTTGAAACTATTCCTAAGCTATTAAACATCACTTGTTCACAGATAAAAACAAGAATAAAACATTATAGTGTGGGATTGTCGCATGGCTGAATTTGGGTTGTCTGTGTGCAAGCAGGATAGAAGGGAAAAATTTGGCCGATGTCAAATTTTATCGGACCCTGTGGATAGAAAGGAAATTTCGGAAATTTTCGTGAATTTCGGCCGATAAAAAAAACCTTGCTCACCACCATGGACTGTGGGCAGCTGGGACTTGCAGTATTGCGCAAGTCTACACTTTACATACTGTCAACAGGCGAAGAATTTGGATGGGGACGAACCAAAATCATTGTTCTAAAAAAATGTGGTAATTATGTCCCATCGACCACCAGACCTTTTTTGATTGGCTTTGCGGGAGACATTGGTCTTGTTTTCCTGAACGCTGGAAATAATGGAATCTTGAGTGTCGACATAGGTCTGCTCAGGTGAAGGTGGTCGATAAGAGACCACGCATCTCCCGCATTGTTCCCTACATCAACTTCTGCACTCCAGGTACTTTTCTCACGCATCCTGATTATCCTTATTCCAGTTCAAATTTTAACTTTGCTCAAGACATGTTGAATTTAATTAAAATGCAACATCATTTGTGTCACTCCTGTGTCAAAAATGTTTTTGCAAATGAACATCCTTGGAAATCACTAGATATGCATTTCTTATTCATTAGTCACACCTGATATGAACAATATTGATGTCAGGACAACTGATCAAAATTTTTGGCAGCTGACAACATAACACTCTATTCATGTGGCAGGCCACCAAGTTGTCACTAGTACAGAATGGACTCGTTGTCCCAGGCGGTAACGGCCTTTAGTCCCGGTTACCACGCCGGGACAACGATCCCGGGACTAAAGGTGTCACCTTTAGTCCCGGGTCATCGAGCCGGGACTAAAGAGGGACCTTTAGTCTCGGTTGGTGTTACCAACCGGGACTAAAGGCCCTCCAGCCGAGCAAACGTGGCCGCACCCTTTAGTCCCGGTTGGTAACCCCAACCGGGACTAAAGGTTTCTTTTCTTTTTCTTTTTTTTGTTTAATTTGTTTTCAGTTCAGTTACACGTATTTGTTTAATATATAATATGTTTTTATGTACGTATTCTACGCTGCTAATATAAATACACGCACGCATATAATTACATCTAATTCTCATCTCGAGCATTATTGTATTCGAATAAAGTATGAACCTATATATATTATAGATATATATATATATATATATATGTATATATACAACACTTTGATAATCTTGTTCTTGAAAATAATGATATCAATAAACATTTAATTTACACCATTGATTCCTTAGGATCAAAGTAGAACTCGCCGTCGGGATTTAGCACTTTTTCTAGAAGAAATCCTGCTATTGACTCTTGAACTGCTATCAGATGGTCTTTTTGCATGACCCTTTGTTTCAACCATTCAGTCTTGCATTTGAAATAAAAGGAAAAGTATTAATACATACATATATATATATTCATTTAAAAATAAATAAAAAATTGATATATACATACTCTGAGGATATCTTTAGGAGTTCTTCTTATGTGCGCAGTGATAAATTCATAAACGTAGTATCCACACAAGTTATTACCTGGTTGCTGCCGCAAACATCACTGTACGAGAAGAAGATTATTCTCATCATCTCACACGTAAATTGAAATACGATATAGTAATTAAACACGTGGGGAAGTATATATAGTACAACTTACTAGTATTTCAACTACATTAAGTGGTGCCTTGCAATCCTTGCGGTG